CTACAGCTGTGAAGGTAGTTGGCATTACACCAGGGATCCACCACACCCAGGTCGAGAAAGCAGAAGCCACAGGCGTGGCTGCCAAATGGCCGGTCTCTGGACGATGGAGAACCCTTCCACTCCTCCTGAGTCTAAGGTTTGGTATTAACACAGGGTCATGTTCCAACCTGTCCTACCCTGGACCTGGGGACTGAGAAAGACAGATACAGGGAAGGTGATACCTAATGAGGCTGCAGGCCAGTAACCCATACTCCATCTTGACCCTTACTGATGCCCACTTTAAGTGTCTGCTTGTACTGGAGAAAGGACAGATACGAGAGTTTATCTTTTGAGACAGGAATACGGAGTTTACAAGTCTATGCGTGCCCTGCGGCTGGGGCCCCTAGTTAATGGAGTTTCCATGACAAAACCAGAGGCTTCCTGAAAACACATGAATGTTTAGAAAAGAAGTCCCCTCCCAGGAAATGAACAACAGGGAAATGTAATCCAATGGCCATAAAGGAGAAAGTCTGAAAATTCCATCAGAACGGCTCTGGCCTCTGGGAAACAGGGAAAACTCACGGAATCAGACTCCACGCCATAGGAAGGGACCCTGGGGATGGAGTTAACCATTCCTAGCCAGAAATCAGCCAGGCTGGCTGGCTATGCTTAGACACCTGATCCCCAGCTACATAAGGACAAGAACTAAGCAGACTGTCAGTTCACTGACCGACAGAACTCATTGTGGTGAGGGCAGCCCTAATTAAGGCTAGAGGGCTTTAGAGGGGCTAAAACTTGTCTAGTATCCAAAGCCTTTAACCTAGGCACGTCCTCTTATTCTGAGGCCTGCCATTCTGCCCTGGGGGTTAACTCATCTTGGTAATAGCAATATTACTGGGCCCCTGTGCCTGCCTGGTGGGTTTGTACTAGTGGCTTAACTAAATGCTTGTCAAACTAAGAAGACAGGTTAATCAGGACCTAGAGGTAGGAACAGTTTCTGTTTCTGAATGAAAGCAACAATTAATGGTTCTATGTAATTGGAGAGGCTTAGACTTACTTCCTATGAGATAAAGAACACTATGTCTGGCTTTGGGAGAAACATGGTGTCTCTACGCTAACTGACCAGGAGTAATTAGAGAAAATCTTGCCACGGTTGGAGAAAACCTCAAAAAGAGAGAGACATAAATCAGGTAATTGATACCTGTCTTGGTCCCCCTGGCTAACTACTCTGTATCAACACTGACTGGGCCTTTAATTCTCATTCTGATTGGATTAATGGCAGGGACCTACATTTTAAACTATATGGCCAATTATGTACCAATTTAGTAAAATTAATGGTCCTTAGGACCAACCACACCTCTTTAGAGCAGGATGGGTCCATAATTAGACTCACTGACTAAGACCATTGGGGAATCTAACGGGGCCCCAGGCCTTAGCACAACTGACTCCATGATGGAAGTCCCATCCAGGCCGTAAAACTCAGCACATAGACAGCGCCAACCTGCCCAAATGAAAACAGAGATCTAATCCATCAAAGTCCAACCTCTTCCTCTATTTCTTCCCATCTTATATTTTTTGAGGCAGGGTCCCTTGCTGAACCTGGGAGCTCACTGATTCAGATGGAGTGGCTGGCCAGTGAACTGCAGGGGTCCTGTCCTGTCTGCCTCTTCAGTGCTGGGACTGCAGCTGTGCACCTTGTTGGTTTTAATGCGGTGGCGCTGTGGTATTTATTAAGCAGCACTGTCACCGTTTGAGAAAAGGCGCGAGGCATGACAAAACCCACTATCATAGTTTTACTAGGAGAAGAGGGACAGAAGTGAGCGTGACCAGGCCTGTGGAAGACATGTGCAGAGAGAGGGCGGGGAGGAGAAGGAGAAGGAGGAGGAGGGGTCTGTGTCCCACTTCTTATGGATTCCCCTGCACATGCGCATATGGGTTTACAGAGCTGCACCATGCATGTGCATAGATTGCGTGATTACACTGTGCGCAAATTATGTGATCACGCAGCACATGGATTATGCAGAATGTAGGGCCCCTTACTAGGCTACTGAACTGCGCATGTGCGGTCATGTAGGTAGGGGAGTGGCCAGGAATTCCAACACATCCCATACAGGGCATTTAACAGGAGAGCTCAAACTCAGCCCTCATGCTCTACACTCTGAGCCCTCTACTCAGCCCCTAGAAAGTTCTCCGTGTTTTGTGATCTTAGCATTTTTATTACATTTATCTGTTGTGTGCATGTATCGTGCGTAAGCCTGTGCATAACGCAGTGTGTATGTGGAGGTCAGAGGACAGGATGGCGCTCTCCTTCTCCTGTGCGTGGTCCTGGGGAGCAAACTGAGGTCCACAGGCTTGGCAACGAGGACCACGACCTGCTGGGCCATCTCACCCTTACTCCCTTCACCCCTGAAAAATTTGAACTAAAAATATTGATTGCTACTTTTCAAAAATGAAAACTGAATTATGGCCAAGGTACAGAGGAGAAGAAAAAAAAAGGAAAGAATTTGGTTTAATCTTTCATTCTTGTGCAAATATGTACGTGTGTGTGTGTAAATATATTGGTAGTCAAATGAAAAAGGATTGAGTTGAAAGGCCATTAAACTAACTCATAAGATAAAATCTGGGTAAGACTGAAGCATTTAGAACGCCCAGGAAAAGCACTGTAAATAAAGTACATCCCAGGTGAGAAATGTGGTTGTTGGGTTCCTAGAACATACCAGACTGGATTCAATAGTGAGAAAGGATCAGCCATGCACCCTGTTCCATCTGAGGAACCTTGTCTTGGCTGAAATTTCCAGCCCATGAACCTCACCCTGTGTAAGGCTGCCATGGTGCACAGATATTGCCATCTTACACAGATTACCATGGTATATAGATTGCCATTGTACAGATTGCCACCTTACACACATTACTACACTACACACATCACAATCTGCACAGACTGTATCTCACACAGATCACCACCACACACACACATCACCACCTGCACAGATTGTATCTTACACAGATCACTGCCACACACAGATCACCATCTGCACAGACTGTATCTTACACAGATCACCACCGCACACACATTACCATCTGCACAGATTATATCTTACACAGATCACCACCACATACAGATCACCATCTGCACAGATTATATCTTACACAGATCACTGCCACACACAGATCGCCATCTGCACAGATCACCACCACACACAGATCACCATCTGCACAGACTGTATCTCACACAGATCACCACCACACACAGATCACCATCTGCACAGATCACCACCACACACAGATCACCACCTGCCCTGCTACTTGCTGAGTTACTTGTCACAGAGGGGAGATTTAGACATAAGCACACATAAAATAAAACCCAGAATGTTAATATTTTGTATTAAATGTAGGAGAAGTTTTACAGTGATCATGACAATATGAATGTGTTAGTTATCTACTTACTTTTTAAAAAAATTGAGACAGGGTCTCCTGCCATATAGACCAGGCTGGCCTCCTCAAACCCATAGAAATCCACCCATCTCTGCCTCCCAAGTGCTGGGATTAAAGGGGTGTGTTGTCACACCGAGCTTGTGTTCATTATTCAAGTAAAGGATTTGCTTTATCAGGCAATCTATCTTTATAATTTTAAGTTAAAACATGGATTGGTTTCCTCTTACTGAAGTTGGCAGGTGTTGGCATTTTTGACAGAGTTTGTAAACAGGATTGGAGTACTTTAAGAAAATTTCATTTAGTGCATTTCTGTCTTTGAATTATTAATCCTATACAACTCACTTAAAAGCTCGGGGATAGTTTGAATGTTTGGTTTATCAGTGCATCGTCAGGTTCCTAAAATGCTTGAGAAGAGACAGATATATTAAACACACACATGCCCCATCACAAATATTTAGGCAGCTGTAAGTGGCACCCATTTTGTTGTTTTGTTTTTCATCTTGTGAAAGTGTCTAATTTACTCTAGGTTGGCTCCAAGCTCACTATTTTGATACTCTTGCTTCCGCTTCCTGATGGCTGAGATTATAGGCATGCACCGCCATGTCTGGTTTAGGTCCTGTTGGGAATCAAACCCAGGGCTCGCTAAGCGAGCGCTCTCTCAAATTGAGCTACATTCCCTAGGCCAAACAGGAGCAACGTCGAGGGGAATTCAATTTGATAAACTCGAGTTACTTGAACTTAAAAGCGAATGAGCTAAAATGACTGTGAATGACATAGTGAGATTGTAAATTGTATGGACTTAAAAATGACTGTCTTTAAATTGAATATCTGCTTCCCCCAAATCAACGCCAGGGCTGAGGAGATGACCCAGTCGGTACAGTGCCTACTGTGCGATCTTGAGGACCCGAGTTCAAGCCTCAGGTGAATCGGTTCAATCCTGTGGGTGACCTAGCAATCCCATGAAGAAGGCGGGTGCAGTGGTGCACATCTGTAATTTCGGCTCCTTGGGGGGACAGAGGCAGGTGGATCTCTGGAGCCTACCGGCTGTCTAGCCAAACTGATGAACTTCAGGTTCAATGACGCCTCTTTTTCAAAAAATAAAGTGAAGTGTGGTAGGAGACCCCTGAGGTTGACATCTGGCCTTCACACACATGAGCAAGCACACACGGGTTCATGCTACATGCACACGTTGACACACCCACCCCAAATATACTACACACATCTGCACAGATGTAATCATAAACTTACTGTCCTTTTAAATATGATTAAGTTTAATTTCTGTGTGTGCATGAAAGTCCCCTTGAATTCACAGAACTCAGCAGACACCTCACATTTCCTCAGTGAATATTCCGCACCGAAAGCTGTGAGGAACGAGCTATGGCTCTGTCCTTTTGCCAGACGGTGGAGCAGAAACACAGAGATGAGTGGCCTGCCTGGGGTTACGGAGCTCACCCACCAGGATTTCAGTCAGAATTGTAGGGTCTTGCCCCAAATCCAGAACTCCTTTTTTTTTTTTTTTTTTTTTTTTTTTCACAGATTGCTTTGGGTCAGGCAGCACCTTATCACACAGCCATGTGCATACTTACTGGCTTCTTCTTTGACTTTATCCATTTCCGCCATCAGTGAAACTTCTTTGTCAATGATGCTGGAGAAAAACAGAAACAAAAACTTATAAACTTTGAAGAAGCAATGGAAATACACACACAAAAAGGATTGTTACGAAACAAAATTACCCCAAGTATTTTTGTGTGACCATGCCAGGAGAACACCCTGTCTCTAAAACAAGCAGCATGGAAGGGATGTCCCCAAGGATAACACAGTGACATCTGCTGATTAAATCACTGTCAACACATTTGAAAAGAAAAGGCCTTTTGACTTCCAGAACTGTATCGCTTTGCATTTAAATATGGGTATATTTTTTCCTTACACATTCCAAAGTTCCAAAACAATGAAAAGGATTTGAAAAGCTGGCACTTAAGACATCAAGGACTGTTCGCAAATGTCTCTGTGTTCTTGTTTCCGAGATCCTAGCTTAGAGGGAGGGAGACGGGCCCAGTTCTGATGCAGGTCCTAGGACTACACTTGGACAAGCCTGCTCCAGGGTGCTGTCCCTGCCAGCTCGACAATAAATGTGTATACTTTCCCATCCTCCCAGCACAGCAAGGTCCTGGAGAACTTACTCCAATACAGTTCATTAATTAAAGCAATTATTCAAGTTTATTTCTCTCATCCCAGCCCCTAATCTCCGAGTTCCACTCTCAAAAGAAACAACATATCACAAATACCTTCTATATCCCTTCTCAGATTTGTCTTTAAATCATAGACATGAGCCGCACTTTTAATTTTCATTTGGTCACAAATTATCTGTCTGTCTGTCTGTCTGCATCCGTACATATATCTGAATTTTAAGGACTTGCTGGAATCATAACCACATTACTTTAACCACATAAAACATTATTAATAGCTCAATGAATGCTTCAGGTTTCTACATATTCAGGTTTCCACAGCTGTTCCCTAATTTTTCAGTAGTTTGTTTAAACCGAGATCTAAAACAGACTTGTTCTTGTTTTAATCCACCAGCTCCCTCTCATCTCCTTTCTCATTTCTTTTGCAATTTATTTGAAGGAATCAAGTTGTCCTCAAGAGTTATCCAAAGTCTGAATTTTGCTAATTACATCTCTCTGGCTTTATTAAACCCACTCTTTTTATACTTCCTATAAAATTATTAGATGTAGAAATTTTTTAAGATTCAGGATTGACTTCCTCAGACATAGAATACTTTATAAATGTGTTATATCTTTGTGTGTGTGCTGACAGAATTATACTTAAATATTCCTCCAGAAGACAGCTCAAACATGATTTTCATCACCTAATAAAGACATTGTACTGAATATAAGACATTCTTCTTTCTTTTGTTATTAACAGTCATCAACATCATTGTCTAGATGGACACAGTTTGTAGAGAATTCCGATTTGTATGAGTCTTTTATTTACTGAATTCTTTCTATAAAGAGAAACTTCACGGGCTTGGGCTTAGCTCAGTGTTAGAGCACTTGGCTAGCGTGTTCACAGCTCTGGGCTTAATCCGCATGGTGTCTGTCTCTTTGTCTCGACAGACAGACAGACAGACACACACAGACAGAGATGGAGGGAGGGAGGCTGAGATGATGACCACTTGTTTGGCTGTAATTAAATATAGTTTGTACAGGTAAGGTAGATGTTTGATTTTCTTTTTGTACATCGGGTTTCAAGCTAGTTAGTTCTTTAGCATCCTCCAAAGGTGTCAAAGAGTTATTATATACTTTAATTATAAATTCATTTAGTATGTGTTTCAATGCATTGAAGTTACCACTAATTGAGATTGTTCAATCACCTGTACTTTCAAGGTTTACAGTGTTGAAAATTTCTTTCTTGGTTATTTGCAAAATTGGTCAAGGTAAGAAGTGGTTTGTCAATGTATCTAACCTTTGGGGACTCTGAATAAGGCATAACCTAAGACTTGGCGAGTGGGAAGTGTCTGCCGTGGAGTTCAGCTCTTTGCAACCAGGAACTGCCAGTGGAAAGTGACCTGTGCGGTGCCAGGCGCCTTCTCCAAGACTGGGCTCTGAGCCTAGGCCCTCAACCATAGACAGCATCAGGAGTCCCCATGACGCACATGGCTTAAGGTCACTGGGTTTGAGCACTCTTGGGTAAGCAGTCTTCTGTATCGTCTCTATTGACAGTACACAGGCATGGCGACAGTCTGTCTTAGATATGGGAAATGCACAACACGGACGGTTAGATGGGGAGGAGGAAGTCTGTCCCCATCCCTGTCCCGGTTGACCGAGTTCCTTTCTCTGAGAGTCTTCACTGTTACAGGTGTCTCATGTTTCTCTGAAGGTCCACCTCTGTACAAACCAGCACATCCTGAGCGATGCGTACGGTGCCAGACTGCGTCACTAGACCTCGGGTTCCAGTGACTACCAAGTCGATGTACCTTCTCTTGTCAAGTCTACAAATGCTGCCATCATAGAGACAAGTGTGGTGCTTATTTGAGTGTATAGTTTTACAACTTTCTTAGGGTGGGCACTTGCATTTTAGTCTAGGGAGACGAAGGTTAATAGATAAGCCGTTAGGGAAATAAGATGATATCGCAGTCAGGAGCTCAAACTGCAAATAAACTACTCTCTGCCTGGGAACAGGTTTTAAATTTTCACTCCCTCAGAAAGGGAGGAGAGAGACGATTCAGCAAGAGGGCTGAGAGCCAGGAAAAACCTCAGGGGTGGGGTAGTCAAAAGGACCTCCAAGAGCCAGGCTATTTTAAGTGCTATCTTAAGGGGTTGCTGTGGCCTTGTACACAGCAGTGGGATGCCTGGATCATCTTAGGCTTGGTGTGGATGGCTTGAGTGAGCATGGGTGCACACACACACACTGAGGAAGTGGCTGGGTTGATCACACCTGGGTTGCTGCAGGGATGAACAGATGGGAAGAGGCAGAGTCTGAAGGTACAGCAGGTGGGAGAATGTAAAGCCCACATGCACCCCCAAAACTCATGCATTCTCTTGAAATAGGTTTTGGATTTCCATAGAACACAGAAAGGCAGGCCAGGAAAATTCATGTGGGCCCAAGAGGCTGGGCAACCCCAGCTGACTCACGGGTTCACAGAACAATGGAGTCACGTGAGAGTGGCCAGTGACTTGTGCTGCCGGCTCGTCACAAATAGAGTGACAGAGTTTGGGATGCTGTTTAGAGATACGGTGCAGAGAGAGAGACAGAACTGGGAAGAGCCACAAAACATTAATTCAATTCATCGGGTCAATATTTGCTAAGTGCTTGCCATGTGGCAGTCAAGGGTTTTGGAGCAGGGGCGGGGGGGGGGGGGGGTGGTACAGCTATGGAAACAAAGAAAAGGAAAAGTGGGGAGAAGGAAGTGGGAGAGTCAAGATTTCTTTGATCATCATGGAGCCTGCATTCTTTTTGCAGAGATATGAGAGGATCTGCTGGACTCACCAAGAGAGCAAGACAGAGAGAAGAAAATGGTGATGGTCAGAAGAAGGTATATCTAGCCGATGTCTGAAGAGCTAAAGGTTTTAAGATATACACAGCGCACACGAAGGGAAATGCATCCATTGGACAAGGTTGGCCCGGCCTCAGGAGGTTGGTAGTTGGGAGAGGGGCAGACTATCACAGGATGCCAGTATGCTCCACAGAGATACCAGCCCTCACCATCCCAGTCCCTATGCAGAGAACAGACCCCGGATGTCACGAAGCCTGGTAGGCTGCACGTGTTGGGCAGGGAGAATGCCGTGGGGGAAGAGGCTTTGCTAAGTTCTTTACCGGCTACACGATCCTGCTAAGTTTTTGTTGGTAGGATTTGTTAACATAACATTGTGCTCAGAGAGTTTACAAGATGGGCATCGGTGGTACAATACATAGCCCCAGGTGGAACACATATTAAACAAAGCCGGATAGTCACACAGTGGTTGGTTCAGACCTTCTGGGCTGGCAACAGGAGGGACGAAGGTTTACACAATAAACTCTTAATCTGCTTAATGCGCACCCTTGGGGATGTGGAAAAGCCTGTGAAGTTGGCATCAGACCACGCTTCCATTCCCATGGGTGTTTTAGCAAGGGAAGGTCATCCTCCTGTGTTTCAGCAACTCAGCACTGCTCCCTCTCTAGGAGACTGCTTTCAAACCTCACGCACAAAGGCAAGCCCAAGGTTTTAGCTCTGACCTGAGAGACAGCCGCATACCAGGCTCAGGACTCTGCCTAAGGAGCGGCCACTTGACCGTCCCCCAAGAGTCTCATCACACTGGACCTCCGGTTCCCGGGTTTTGCTCCTAAGGCACGAGGCTTGGGGAAGGGAAACGAATGTGGCAGATGAATTAGTATAGGCTAGTCTGTCCCCTGGAGGCCGCCAGACAGCAAGGAGCCAGCAACACATCATCCTGAGCCCCGGACTAAGAGCAGGTCAAGAGAGAATGGCCATGTCTAAAGCCTTTCAAACGGCCTTACAGCCTGGGTGTCCCAGTCAGCTTGGAGAGTGATTCAGTCAGGGCCATTTGCATGACTCTGTCTTCTCAGAAGGACAAGGTTAGGCACATCCGGAAATGCTGCGGGGGTGGGGGTGGGGGATGGGGGTTGGGGGTGGGTGGGGGGGTGGGGGGGTGGGGGGAGACGACGACACACGACTGAGGGCATCTTGACAGAAATCTGGCTCGGAGTTATCAGAGGGGAAGGATGGGAGGCCCCTCTGAGAGAGAGGGCATCAGTGCACCCACCACAGTCCTGCTGGGTAAGGAGAGGCCACTCTTGCTTTTGAGGTTTTCCTCGGTAGGGAGACATCAGCTTGCAGCTGCCTCAAGGCAAGAGCCAGTTCTTACTAGTACTGAGTGCTGATTGACTCGGCCAGGCCCATCAGCTGGTGGGCCAGCACCCTATAGAACAACCTTTTTTTTTTTTTTTTTTTTTTTTTTCTGAGACAGGGGTTTCTCTGTGTAGTTTTGGTGCCTGTCCTGGATCTTGCTCTGTAGACCAGGCTGGACTCGGAACTCACAGACATCCGCCTGTCTCTGCCTCCCGAGTGCTGGGTTTAAAGGCGTGTGCCACCGCTGCCTGGCCATACAGGACAATCTTACTGAAGCCTCCCAATACCCCAGGAGG